ACAGCTTAGTTTGGTTGAAAAAGCAATATCTTAGAATAGAGTTAAGAACTCATGAAAATAGAATTAAAATATGATGAGAAGGATCATTTTCTGCTTTATTATAAACATTAAAATCATGGCATATCAAGTATTATTATAAAGTATAATTTCAAGATCCAATTTAAAGTTATTGTTGGGAGTTACATGTACATATTACATGTGAGGACTATAAGCCTGGAGAGGTAATTTTCTTAAAAGCTAACCTGTAATAATACAATTGACATATTTATTCCCAAAGAAATCTTGCACGGTAAGTAAAGTAAAGTAAAGTAAAGGTTTTATCTAGTACAGTGTTGCTTGAAACCAGCCAGAATAAAGTCATACATGCTACTGTTGAAATGAGAGGGGTTGCATGATCAGGATCAGCCAATTTTATGATGGGACAATATTTTGTCTCCACATAAATTTTTCTTAACATGTTGGCACATATAATTCTTCATCTTTAATGTATATTATTTTGCAATAAAATAATCCAATGTAAGCTAATATATTGATTTTTGTTTAAGTTCTCATAACTTTACACATTTAAAAAACATCAATTGAATCAAAATTTTCGGTCTTATCATTATACAGAAGTATTAAATTTAGAAGGGATGGGGGGCCTCGAGTTGTTTTCAAGGGGATTATTACAGTTTAACAAGTAAATAGGTTTAAAGTAGGGCGGTTGGTCGTGGGTCAGTTGAATGCGGCTTCCCCATATTATGGGGTGACCGAAACCTATGGATTCCAAAGGTTTCGGCCATGTGGCGTTTGCGCCGAGCCATTCAACTGATGCTATAATTCATTGTGTTGCTGCTGCTTAAAACAATCTCATTTACTGTGAAAATGTGTGCTGCTTTCAACAAATTCATGAATTGGTCTGCTTTGCTTACTTGAAACAAACTCAGTTGCTGTGCAAAATGTGTACTGCTTTCAACAAATTTCATGCACAGTGTTTTGCTTGCTAAAATATCTTTTGTAACGTTCGCGGTTTGATAACCCGGAACGATAACTACAACATACATATAAACTTGCAAAGTTTATTTCAAATACATGTACATAAAATTTAATTGTAAGGTTAATTACCGTTCGCGGTATACCCGGAACGGCCATTATTATGCTTATTATATGTACATGTGATATTATGCTTTCATGTTGCTTGCTGCTGCTGCTGCTTGTTGTGATTTGGGGTCGCCCTTTTACGCTTGGCGACCCCTGCTGCTTTTAATATGCCACGACCAACAAAGGCCAATATCAAAATAAACGTGTATAAAATCATGTTTGTTTTATTTTCCTCTATATAAATAATAGCATCTATTAATTCAAAGAATAGATGCACTTATTTTATGAGGAAAACTTTGTTGCTCTATTTGAGTTGGGTTAGCTCGAATATAAATTAGATCGGGATCGGGATATCTCAAATTCTCCCTCTTTGCCTTTGATCTAAAAACGAAAGGTACACGAATTTTGTAGCAGACAGAACTTTTAAAAAAATATGCTTTCAATCACGATTGTTTCTAAAAAACAAACGCCAATATCAAAATAAACGTGTATAAAATCATGTTTGTTTTATTTTCCTCTATATAAATAACAATCCTTTTTTTCTTTTTAGTACAATAAATCCTTAACTGGGGAATAAAAACTGGGGTAAATTAAGGACCTTTATGTCGCTTTGCATATAGGAGACATGGCTGTATATTATGTAATTGTAGTGAGAAAAAGCTTATAATGTAGATGCGACAGAATTAAATATGTTACTTTAAACACTTTGCTGTTTAGCGTACAGATGATTCATGACGTGATGAATAATAAGTCTAGCATATATCTATATACTTTTGAATAAATTGAGACACTAAAATAATTCAGCCGATGAAAGTGACAATAAAGAATATCATAATAAGTATTTGATATACAATAAATTTTCATATGCAGATAAGATATAAACCACATATATCAATTAACATTTGTAAAATCAAACTATCAGTTGATAATTTATTTTAAAAAGTGTAATTGTATAGTATTTGTTTCCTGATATCGTGTCAACACAAGTCGTATTTATATATATATGAAAGTATCTTTACTTGATACAAGTTCAACAATTTTAAAAGAATACCTCAAACGATTCTTAACCCAATTCAAAATTTATTTAGTTTTTCCGTAAGAAACGCATCACTTTTATAAAACGATTGTAAAGATATATTATGTAATTCTGTGAAGTTTACAGCAGAGAAAAAGTAAGAAATAGAAAAGATTTCCCATTTGCATCTTTGAAAAAAAGGAAAAGGTAGAGTAACAACGGAATCTAACCCCTTATTTGATGGAAAAATCAGAACAATAGTAAAATTGTGACAGTTTGTAGTTAAGATCTTAAAATATGCTTCCTTTAAAACCTGCAGTAATTTGGATTCAAATCTTACATGAAAACCACTAAAGGGTCCAGATGAAGGCCATTTTTCCTATATCTTCATTCTGGTGGGATTTCGTCATATTTGAGATAGTTTTCTTTTCGTAAAACAGAGTACAAGCTTGCTATCTGAGATTTTTCCAAAAAGTGCATTTGATACTAGGTTATAAAAGTATAAATTCGGTAGATAGGCACCTGGCCCCAGGATCAGCTTAAGATGTTTCATGATCCTGGGGCCTGATCCCATCTCTGGAATACCCAGGAGTCCGTGCTTATGCCCTCTTAACAGATTTGTAAAGTTAAAAGTCTCTCTGACATCAATTAGTCGGACCGTTTTGTAGTCAAATTGAGTAAAAATAGATAATTTTAAAAAAATCAGATAGGTCTATCAAGGGATAAAGATTACGTCAGCTAAAATGTATTTATTAAATAATGTCAACTAAATGAACTGTGATTTTGAGATGATCTTGGCTTAATTGAATAAATTTCACAGAGCATTGGTTTGAAATTTGATATCAAGAATAACAGGATATTTTTGGGATAAATGAAATTTTGGAACAAAATTCATAATATATTTTATCATTTGCATTAATTTTTTCAAGATAAAATAATTTTAATCCTTATAATATATAAATATGTCGTAAAATTCAAACTGATAAAGATTTACCAACAAGTTTTAAAGTTTTTATGATTAACATGTTTAGCTATATTTATTTTTAAATAAAAAATCTTTCTATGTTTTATTAATGACTAAGACATGTTCAAAATTATGATATTTACGACATAGGCTTAAGAAAGTCGACAAGTGAAATTGACATGATCGAGAGGGGAAGAAGACGGAATCGCCCGCTTCAAAATGACAGGAATGCCAAATGGCACTCCGTTAAAAGAACCAACCGACAGAAATTTTAAAACATTTTAAAAAATTGCAGATATCACGATTAAGCCTACAGGTACACTCTCGAAAGCGGTCCTCAAACATGCCGGCCAAGAGCGCCGAACTGTGTTGACGACGTTCCAGTTGCAGTGGAAAAGCGAAAATGTAGGTTTCCAGTGCTTTCAAAATTATTAAAAATAGCAATGTTTATGCATTATAGATACAAAGGTTTCAAAATACATAGTATACTGTTACATCGCAAACTGAAACATGGCATAAACATGTTACATAACGTTAGGCCTAAGAGGTCTTCAGATGCGTGTAGACGACAGCATTCGTATTATCTTTTTATTGCAACTTTAGCTCGTAGTATATGATAAATTTCCTTTTTATATTGTAAATGCAGAATATCTATCCCAAATTTATAGACATACCGTAAGAGAAAAAAAATGAGATAACATCTATAATCATTCGGTAAGAAACTAGGTCGCTTCATTCTATGGCGGCCTAGGGTTTAAAAAATATTTCTGAAACATCAAAGAAAATGTAGAAATTATTTGAGTTTAAACTACAGTTTTAGGTTCTAAAACAAAGTCAGATAGACAAAATAATGATTTTACCTTTTTTGAACAATGATATTGCCAGTAAATTATAAAATATTTTTTTCTAAATGAAATAATTTTTTACAGGTAAGTCTTGTTTTCACAAGAATCACAAATAAAGAACTTAAAAGAGAGCAGGGTTTAAGAACCACTAAAATCAGATGGAGAAAACCATGCAAATTAGATTGAGAAAGAGGGACTGGATATAAAAGATCCCATGGAAGCTACCATCCAACACCACACACCAGGACCCAATCCGGAACTCGCAGGCCAAGAGAAAGAGAGGATATCCAACAAACTATTATGAGGTATTCATTTGTTAAATGATTACTTTTTTTCAAAAAAAGCTTTTCTTAACATATTTACAATTTTAACCTGATATTATCACACTTATTTTGAATATTTGGTGAATAAATCACATACTTTGAAGCCTAAATGCCTTGATTCATTTTCATTAAACGATGAAAAAGAAATAGGGTGTGGTGATATAAAAAATATTAAAATTTTCTTATATGTACACTAACCCCTACTTTTCATGCTATGAAAATGAACCATAATACCTAAAGAAACTGTACTACAATTTTCTGTAGAAATATGTTTTTTATGGGTTTTCAAGCTATTTTATAGCAGAAAATTTTATTTTTGACACCGGTGAACAGCATTTTTGGGTACAAATTAACTAATTGATGTTTATTGGTGTTTATTTGCTCATATCTTGCTTTAAAAATTAACTTTGCAATACTTTCAAGTAAATTTAAACCAAATTAAGTTTAAATTGATTGTATTTATAAGTTTATGAGGTATTTCAATGGTCTAATAGGTTTTTTAAATGAAATTTCCCATGCTCTATTTTGGCCTGTGTTGGAGGGGTTGAATCTCTCTTAGAGGAACACTAACTTACACTTTTCTTGTCTTTAAATTATTCCTTGGATATTACACTTTCAGAAAAATATAAGCATGTAGAAAGTTTAATGCACGTTTTTTTATCAGAAGAATACATCCTTAATATATAAATCTTGTTGCAATAATTAATTATATATCGTTATTATTTACAGTAATTAACAGGGAGTATTCGAACATATGTAGAATATACATATTTGCAACGAGGAAACTCTGTAACTGCATTGTTAAAGGAAGAAAATAATAACTCTGAGATTATGTCCTTATAGTTCTTCAAAAACATAGAAAATAAGGAAGAGCAGTCTTCTCTCGTTGCAGAATTAATGAAACAGTACCCCTTCTAAGCAATTCTAAACTTTTAGAGGAAAAACTCGCTCAAGTATCAGGCAATTGCTTTAAAAAGCATATATCCATATAACACACTCTAAGTTAGTGCAATCAATGACTGCCTGATGCCAACATATTAGGAACAATCTAGTTTAGTTCGACATGTATATAAGTTAAATTTCGAGTGGTTCTGATATACAAGTGCTTGTTAAATGCAGCAAATAGATCTGGAATATCGAGTTTCAACGCTTTGGTGTTAGTACGAAAAACTGGACATTTATTACTGTCATTCTTTTATCTCTACATGTATTCCTTCATTGCGTAAGTAACCCATTTGCTCCATAAGTAATGAAGGTCTTCATATTTCTATTTGTAACTAATTACTTTGCGGATGTTTTGGCCAGAAACTCACAGATGATATGTCCTGATGATAGATTTTATAACAAGAAAACAGGAAACTGCACAGGTATGGTTGAATTTTGAAAATAAAGAAAAACTGCATGTGCAAAGCAAATACTTGCGAGGTTCACTGATTAAAAAAATATCAAATAATTTATTGTTCTAGTACAAAACTTACTTTTTTATATTAGAAGATGTTGTAACAATAGAATTAATTAAATATCAAACGATAGTAAAAATAGTAGAGAAGCATTTTGTTTTTATCTGACTTTTAGAATGTCTGCCAGGATATTTTGCATCAAACTGCTCTAAACTGTGTCGATACCCTAACTACGGTAATGAATGCCAGGATCAATGCCCGTGTAGAGAAGAGTATTGCAATCACATTTTTGGATGCATCGAAGGTGAGTGTGTCAAAACACATTTCTCAAAAAATATCTAACTCTGATAATTTCATTTTAAATATAAAATGCATTACAAGCTAGAATATGTATTGTCAAACGTAGTTAATTATTCAAAACGTTCTTAATAGATCCTCAAGATATCAAAGAACCCAAAGACAGAGTCAACACCATCATTGCGGTAACAGTTACTGGAATTATTCTTATCATCATCGCTTTCATCATTTTATCCATAGCAAACCGAAAATTCTTCACCAGACACATCAGTCAAAACGCTCACTACGTCGACACTGTAATAGCTGAACATACAGAGCACACATACAATCCTCACTTACATCGTAATACAGAATACTCTAGGCCTGATGAAACCTGTGCTCAAACCGACAACGGAATGTATATGTTGGCAAATACACTTCTATACGAATATACCGCCGTTCATAAAGATTATAGTCAGCAGAACGTATAATTCATACACAAAAGGGACGAAAACAAATTTAATGCCCAAGATATGATTTTCATAAAACTTTTAAAATATAAAGGTGTTTTTCTAAACGCTGTGTTTGAAAGCTTTTCTTGTGTATCATGATATATATTTACTTCTTTTGTTGATGTTGTTTTTGGTATTTTGACTTGCCTAGATAGCCAAGCGGTCTAGCGCGCTGTTCATGCACTGCAAGGAGACAGATTCCGAAGGTCGAGAGTTCAATCCCGGGCTGGCAAGTGGGTATTATATGTAAAAGTGAATTTCTTTGTGCTTTCTATATTAATATTTCTTCATCTAGGGCAGTTATGTTAGTTTAAGAGTTGTTGTAAATTGTGCTTTTTAAATAATAATTAATTTCATTACAATATGTATTGGTAACAATCCTCTGTTAAAACTGATGTCCAAATAACTGTATCTCACTTCTATTCTCAATGACCGTTTAGTGTAGGGTAGCGCCGCTAGAATTCCATCGGCATCGAAAGCAAGTTTTTTGGCTTGCCTAGATATCCGAGCGGTCTAGCGCGCTGTTCCTGCACTGCTAGGACATATATATATATATTATGTGTTAAATTAAACTGACATGAAAATATTAATTTTTTTATCTCATCTTTTATATGTTTTATTATAGCTATTTTATTGTGATTATCATTATCATCATATGACATCAAACATGTTCATGTATTTTAATTGACTTGCTAAGTTGTTTATACGATGGTCATACAAAAAATACGTAGACAATATCCTCCATTATCATATTATTCTTACAAAGTTTTTTAGATTAACACATTTTCATATGTAAAAACATTTATTTCGTTTGTGTGTAAAGTTTCATTTTATTTGATTTAATGGAACTCGTGTTTGACAATTTTAAAGGTAACATGTTTTGTCACCACGGAGAACGGATAGCAACACTTTGGCGTGAAAACCAACGTTGAAAAATTTTCTTAAAATTACTCTGCCTTTTCATTTCATCCACGATGTGTTGCTTTTTCTGAATACATGAATCACCTAGTTCACTAGCAATTGTTTGAGTACCTTAAGTTAAATTGACAATGCTTTCGAATTCTTTGTTGCGTAAGTCTTGTTTGCACAAGTTCCGCGAAAGTGAATAGCACATCACATTTTATGACGTTACTAACTCTTTGAAAAGATTTTTTGCATTTGTTTCTTTGCAGACCGTTCATGGTCCGATTCCAAGTCTAACACTCAAAAAATAGTCATTCCCATTATAAACAAATGCATAATTTTGTATCAATTTCCCGAATTATCAAGCATTTCAAGGTTCCTTTTGACTTTTTTTCACTAATCGCTGCTCCGTGACGTCATTCGACGTCATCGTTTTTTGCTTTTTCTCATGAAGTCTATCTGCCTTTGAAGATTGATATCTTTTAAACGAAGCGATGTATTACATTAAATTTTAGCGTCCGAAGTAATTAAACAATTCTAAATTAAAATATTTCAATTTTATTTCTTTAAGAGCCATTTATTAGAGGTATGACTGTAGACATTATAAAGTGTTTAGTTAGAAAATAGGTCAATTTTGACCCTGCCCGTCACCCCCTTTTTTCTCTTAAATCTTTGATAATTTTGATAATTAAGGTCTTCCGTTTCCAACGGAAGACCTTCTACTGATTCTGTTGGTAAAGATTATTATTCTTTTTTTTTTCTACTTCCTAGACGCCAAATTTGAGGCCTCATATCTCACTCATTTCTCAACGGATTTCGCTCAAATTTTCAGAGGTTATAGAAGTTTATAAACTCTATCAGAATGATGACTAAAATTTCAAAAAGTCACTTCCGGTTTTGAGTTATTCCCCTTTAAATGAAAAATCATAGGCTTTCGTTTCCGGATAAAGGCTCAGAGACCACAAAAGCTGGAGCAGAAATTTTACTTGTTTTAGATAACAGAAGGATTGAAGTTGTGCACATCGGTTTTTGTTTTTCGATTTCTGCATTCAAAATGGCGCTATATAGGGGTCAAAAATTAGAACGCCTAAAAGAGCGAAAATTTACAGATATTTTCCTTTTTATCTTGAAAACTAAAAATATTTTGTTAAGACATGTTGAATAAAAGTTGTGCATAATTACCAGCGCTTTTATTTGATATCATTAAAAAGGGGCTGGCCCCTAAAATTAGGGATCAAGGGCCCTAGAAATTGTTTAATATCTCAAAAAGTATTGAGAATTTGTAATACGTCAAAGAAGCAAAGTTGTTCAAAATGTCAAGCTTTATCTAATGAGGTTGTCATAATATGTCCGGGGATGTCACTTCCGGTCAAACCGGAAGTAGTCAAAAATTGCATATTTTGTTGTTCTTGACAGGTTTTTGGATATCATATGTCACTGGAAGCTTAAATCTTAATTTTCCGTCCGTTAACGGTACTTCCGGTCAAACCGGAAGTTGCCAAAAATAGCTTGATTTTGCAAAAATGAGCATAGATTTGGAGGATTAAACCATTTTTCGACTTCATTACTCTTTTTTTTTTAAATGAAAGTTACTTCCGGTCAAACAGGACGGAAGACCTACTCGTTGCTTTGCAACGAGCTTGGCTCTAGTTATCAAGATATTTTCCAATTTTTCGCTCATATAATTTCAATTTATTATTAAAATATGTGTACTTACTTTGGTTATAATATGACGTTAAATAAAAAAAATTATGACAAAAGTCTACGAACTTTTTGAATGACCCTCGTATATCTTTGCTAATTTGTTGTAATATTGTTGTTGTGATTAGAAGGCCCTGAGGAAGAAAAGTGTGTCACACTTATCAGGCCACCTTCTCTGAATAAAGTATTATTATTAGTATTATAAATATTATTATTGATACAAAGCGTAATTGCCTTTTTCAGTAGCATTTTGATTTTACAATTAATCATTTTTTTTTATTAAATGTTTCTCTGACAATTATAGACGAAATATTTTTGAAAAGTTGAAAACTCAAATCCACTCTTAGAAAAAGGAAAAAATTAATTTTATACGAACATTTAATTTTGTCCTTCATTTTTGTAGAAAATGATACTGACAACATGGTGACACATACATATTTATCCAACATCCTCTTGGAATCATAGTCCTTCTATTGACGGTGCTTGTTGTTTTCCAAGCCCTTAGCTTCAAATGAAAATACT